TGTTTTAACCTGTCTGGCAAGTAGAGTCTGTCTCTATGTGCTGTGCTTGTTAATGTGCTTGGATTTATTTGTAACACATACTTTGTGCTTCTACTTTCCTTGCTCTTTTATATATTTTTTTCTCCTTTGTATGTCTTTTATTAGATTGACTACAGTTTCTTGCATCATTTTTCTTTCTGCTGGTTTAAAAGCTATAGAGCCTCATTCTAATTTTTACTTGTTGTCCTTAATTGTTTAACAACCATGCATGCTCAAAGTCTAAAATTAATGTTTTTACTCCTCCCAAACTAGCCAGGGAGCTTTTCTAATTACCCTCGTCTTCATGTACATGTTGTTACCGTGTAGTGTTTTAGCTTCAACTTGTTTTAAGTCCACTCAACACTAGTCATTACTAGTACTATCTTATTTTACAGTAATGCTTGCGTAAGTTTTTCTTTATCAATTTGCTCACTCACAACTGCTTCTTTTTTTTTTATCCTCACCTGAGGACATTTTTCCATTTTTTGTTCAGATAGAGTGGGAGGGAGAGAGAGGAAGAGAAAGAAAGAGAGAAAAACATCGATGTGAAAGGGACACATTGAGTGACTGCCTCCCACACGACCCAACCAGGGCTGGGGACAAACTGCAATCGAGGTACGTGCCCTTATCGGGAACCAAACCCCGGTCTCTCTGGACCACAGGCCAATGCTCTAACCGCTGAGCCAAACTGGCCAGGGCTCACAACTGCTTGTATCTGCTTCTTTCTCAATTTAATCGCCATCCTCTTGAAACAAACTTTTAATAGACCTGGGAATGGTAAACTTACTTGGGCTTTGCTTGGAAATATCTTTATTTTCCCCTCATCTCTTCATGATAGATTGTCTCTGTATAAGTCTAGGTAGAGAGGTAACAGAAAATTTTCCTCAAAGCTTGAAAGATGTTACTCTGTTCTCCTGGCTTTGGATGCTGAAATCCTCTGTCTGTCTGGTTATTGTGGCTTTTTTTTGGACATCTGTCTTCCTCTCTGGTTGATTTTAAGATAATCTCTTTGTTTTTGTAATCTAACATTTCACCTTGGCATGTTCAAGTGTAGAATTTTTTTTTTTTTATCCTTACCCAAGGACATTTTTCCATTTTTGTTCAAATAGAGTGGGAGAGAGAGGGAGGGAGGGAGGGAGGGAGGGAGGGGGAAGAGAGAGAGAGAGAGAGAGAGAGAGAGAGAGAGAAAGAGAGAGAGAGAGAGAGAGAAAGAAACACCTATGTGAAAGGGACACATCAAGTGGTTGCCACCTGCATGACCCATCCAGGGCCGGGGACAAACTGCAACGGAGGTCTGTGCCCTTAGCGGGAACCTAACCCGGGTCTCTCTGGACCGCAGGCTGACGCTCTAACTGCTGAGCAAAACCAGCCAGGGCCAAGTGTAGAATTTTTTAATCTGTTTAGAATTTAGGTTTCCTGGATATGAGGATCCGTGTCTTTGATTGTTTCTGGAAAACTCATGATGGTTTTTGCTTTGAATATTGACTCCATTCTCTCTAGCCCCTTGATCTGTGTTGGGTCTTCTCATCCTATCCTCCACGTCTCAGCTTCTCTTTCATATTTTGTCAGTCTGTCTCTCTGTGGTACATTCTGGATAATTTCTTCACAGCCATTTTTCAGTTTACAGATTCTTGCTTCTGGCTTATTCTTCTTTTTAACTGTTTGTTCATTTATTTCAATGTTTATGTTTTTTCATGTCTAGAAACTGCATTTGGGTATTTTAACTTTTTTTCTAGATGCCTTTAAAAAGTATTTTTTTTCCTTTATTGATTTTTTTTAGAGAGAGAAGAAGTGAGAAGGAGAGAGCAATAGAAATATCAATAAGAGAGAACATTGATTGGCTGCCTCCAACATGCCCCCCCCCCCATTCCCCCGGGATCAGGCCCACAACCTGGGCATGTGCCCTGACTGGGTATTGAACTGGTGACCTGTTGGTGCATGGGTCAACGCTCAATCACTGAGCCACACAGGCCAGACCTTTTTATTTTTTATAATATCTTGTTCTTAGGGTTCTGATTCCTACTTTTACATTTATTTGGTTTTCATCCACCTTTTTTCCTAGAAGACCAGATTGTTATTCTCTTACCGATCCTCAGCTGTGCTCGTGTGAAGTCTTGTTTCCTTCTGCTGATGCAGGATTGTTTCTTGTATGTTTTGTAATTTTTTTTTTTTTTCAAGAAAGTGGTGGTTGTTGTTTTTTTCTTAATATGTTTTTATTGATTTTTTGGAGGGAGAGGGAGAGAGAGAAACATTGATTGTCCCCCTTCTGCACGCCCCCTACAGGTGATTGAGCCCACAAGCCAGGCATGTGCCCTAACAGGGAATCAAACTGGAACCAGAGACCTTTTGGTGCACAGGATAACACCCAACCAACTGAGCCACACTGGCCAGGGCTGTTTTGTAGTTTTATTTCATTTACATGTTTTTTTATTGATTTTTTCTTTTTTAAGAGAGATAGAAACATCAATCAACTGCCTCCTGCACACCCCCTACTAGAGGTCGAGCCCGCAACCCGGGCATGTGCCCTGGCCAGGAATCGAACCGGGACCTCTGAGTCCATGGGACGACGCTCAATCCACTGAGCCACTCCAGCCAGGCTGTTTTGTAGTTTTAGATGGCGAATTGTCTTCATGGTTTGTTTTTTTTACCTGAAAGAATTCTATGTGAAAAGAGTGGTGAGTGGTTTTGCGTTTGCATTTGCCCCAGGAACACCACAAGCCTGGGGTTTTGTACGGACTTCCCGGCTTGGCAGGCCCACCGGGCGAATGCAGACTTCACACAGGTGGCAGGTGCAGCAGGGGACGCTGGCTCCTCGCAGGATACTTCTGTCCCTCTCAGCATGTCCTTGTTACCTTTATGTGGTGTGTGTAGTTTCTTGTTCTTTCTTTCTTTTTATTATTTATTTATTTATGTTTTTTGTTAATCCTCAACCAATGATATTTTTTCATTAATTCTTAGATAGAGTGGAAGGAAAGGCGGCGGGGGGGGGGGGGGGGGACATCGATGTGAGAGAGACACATCAATTGGTTGCCTCCTGCACAACCAGGGCTGGGGATCAAACCTGCAACCCAGGTACATGCCCTTGACGGGGACTCGAAGGCAGGACCCTTTGGTCTGTAGGCTGACATTCTAACCACTGAGCAAAACTGACCAGGGCTCGCTCTTTTTTTAAAAAAATAGATGTTTAATAACATGTATACCTCCTGTACACCTGGGAGAGACCCAGGGAAAATGAGTAACTCCAAAATGCCCAAGTCGATACCTTTTTTTTAAATTTATTTTTCAATTATAGTCGACATTTAATATTATTTTGTACTCATTTCAGATATACAGCCATTGCAGATATGCAGCATAATGGTCCAACAATCATGTACTTTACAAAATGGTTCCCCCAATATTTTAAGTACTCACCTGGCACCATAGTTATTACAATAGTATTGATTATATTCCCTATGCTGCACTTTACATCCTTGTGACTGTTTTGTGACTACCAATTTGTACTCCTAATCCCTTCACCTTTTTTGGGGGGTGTGCAGTTTCTAGTTGTTGGTCTGGGTATTTTGTCTTGTTTTTTATTCTCACCCAAGGACATTTTTGCATTTATCTTCAGATAGAGCGGAAGGGAGAGAGGGTGAAAACATCAATGTGAGAGAGACACATCGAATGGTTGCCTCCCACATGACCCCAACTGGGGCCAGGGATGAACCGCAACTGAGGTACATGCCCTTAGTGGGAACCGAACCCGGGACTCTTTGGTCCACTGAGCCAGACTGGCCAGGGCTGTTTGGGGCTCTTGAGTCCCCTCTCCTTGAGCCTCACCCTGGGGCTTTTTACGAAGATGCAACCCTTTGAGGGTCCAAGTCTCTGTACAGTGGGCTCTGGTTCAACACAGGAGAGTTGTCACGAGGTCTCGTCTCCTGTCCACTCATGCGTGTAGCTTCAAGTGCATCTTCCTTTAGCTGCTGCTGCAGGGCCCTTGTACAGCTGCCTCACATCTGATGCATGGGGACTCTCCTATCTCTCTCACTATTCAGCCATGTAGGAGAAATATCAGATTACGGTTATCCAGCCCTTCTAGGTGTTTGCAGTTGCAGAGTCTGCTGCCGTTTATTTGCTCCCTGTCTGGACCAGAAACTCTAAGTGAATCTCTCTAAGCCTTAATTTCCTCTGTAAAGAAACAGCATCTCCTTGATGGGTGAGGAGTTAAATGAGATAAAGCAGGTAAAATGCTTAGGGGCCTGGCACATGGTAGCAACTCAATAAATATGAGCATCATCATTGATACTCTAGAAACTTTGGGATGTCTGGAAGAATATAAAAATAAATAAATACTATGCTGTCCACAGAAGATTATGGCCAGCACGTTTACGTATTTCCAACCTTGTTCACATGCACAGTTCCACACCCCTGAGGAACAGAAGTCGTAGCGTGCATCCGCCTCTTCACTTGGTCCCTGTCTGTCCGACCAGGGCGCCCTCACCCTAGCTTATAGACAGCTGCCTTCTCTCTGTGCCTCACATGGGGGGTTGGGAGGGAGGGAGAGAGCTCTCTAGTCTTATCTTAAAGGGACACCAGTCCCATGATGACTCTCATAACTTCATCTAACCTTAATCCACCTCCCAAAGGCCATCTCCAGGTTCCATCATACTGGGGGTTAGGGCTTCAACATAAGACTTGGAGAGACACAGTTTAGTCTATAGCAGTGAAATTTCTGTATTTAACAGTTGCCCCTCAGGTTGGAAGCTCATCTGTGATCTCAGCAAGAATGAGATGATCAGATCCGTGTTCTTCTCCGGCAGAGTCCCCTCAGAAGAGAGATAATAGGGGGCTGAGAGCACAGTGAGGTCTAGAGAACACATAAAGTGTGTGTGGTTCGGGTCTGGGGAATAAATTCTGAGTTCCTGCAGGAAGCCAGCCCCCAGCCAGGTGGCGCCCAGTAACCCTGTCTTCTCTGCTCTTGTCCCACATCCTTCCCGCTGCAGGTCATGATGGGCCTGGAGCTTTCTCCTCCAGTCACTTTTCAGCTCCGGGCTGGCTCTGGACCCGTGTTCCTCAGTGGCCAGGAATGTTACGGTGAGTCTGAGCTTGGGCCTGGGAAAGGTCTGAGAGGGCAGGGCCTCGCACAGGGCCGCGGATATGATAAAAACTCAGACACTTGAGGGATTCTTGAATAATTACAGAAGATCCCCAAAGGCAACACGGTTGCCAGTAGCCTGGACTCAAAGGCCACAGGCACGGGTCTGCCCCGGTTCTTTGCCCTCATGGCCGCAGTCCTCCGCCTGGAGCGGGAGGGCAGGGGTGTTTTTTATTTCATCTTCAAAGAACAGTTGTGAGCAGTAAACGGGCTGTTCAGGAAGAGCAGTTAGCACGGTGCCTAACGAGCTCAAACTTACAATGTTGGCTTCAAATGCAGTACGTAGCTGTAGTGGTTACATGGGCCCAGCAAGTTGGCTGTGCTGTGGACTCTTAATATCCTTTAACTGACCCTCTTCTCTGTCCAGTTGTACCCCTGGCATCAGGGTGCTCTCCTGCCCCCAAATCCTATCAGCAGCCACTTCCCTTAGGATAAGGCCTGACTTGCGTGGCGGCTGCTCCAGGTTCCCCCCACCTTCTCCTTCCCCTGACACACTCCTTCCCAGGGTGAATCCTCCTCCTACCAGGGCCCAGCTGGCCTTTCCCCTGCCTCCTCCTGCCACCCTCAGCTCTCTGGGCTGTTCCAGATCCCTCACCCCATCTTGCCTCTACTCTGTCAGGGGGCCAGGAGGGGTTCACAGGTAGGCAGGTGGGTACTTTCACCTCCGTGCTGGGAATCCCACAGGGCACCTCTCAAGACAGAGTCCCTGCCCCTTTCCCGTGCCATTGCAGACACTGCAGACCTCTCTTGGGAGGAAGAGGAGGAAGAGGAAGAGGAGGAGGAGCAAGAGCCAGAGGAAGAAGATGATGATGATGATGATGATGAAGTTGATGTGTCCCTAGAGGAGACCCCTGTCAAACAAGGCAAGAGGCTGGTGCCCCAGAAGCTGACAAGTGTTGCCAAGGTGAGGGAAGGGACCCTGCAGAGCTTCCTCAGAAACCTGGGCCTGGCCTCCTGAGCTGAGAGAGCAGGAGCCAAGCCCTGCCAGGGGCGCAGCAGGGGTCTGCTCAGACCCTCACCCTAACTGTCCCAATGGTGCTTGTGTTTGGTTCCCAGAAAAAGAAGGTGGAAAAAGAAGAGGAGGCAGTGAGGTAACTCTTTCCATCTCTTCATTTGGCCAAACCCTTTGGGCGAAGGTGCACAGTGCTAGAAAGAGTATGGTGCACCTGGTGTGTGCGTGTGTGTACGCACAGGGTACATGGTGTGCTGCCACCACCTTTCTGAGAAGCATTAACCTGTTCTCATCTTCTGACCTGATTCCACGTATGCCAGTGCCTTTCGAAGGAGTCCATCCAAAATAGGGAGAGCATTATATGCACTAAGAAACTCACCGCTGCATCATTCAGATAATAGCGGGAAAGGAAGCAGGCTCAGTGTCTGCCGAGAGAACAGTGACGGCACCAGGCACGTGTTCTCAGTGGATGTCACATATGCAACCTGGAAAATGTTATAGAATGTAAAAGAACAGGATATTAAATTGTTTTCATTTTATTTCACATATTTTTAGAAGAAGAAAAAAAAAAAACCTAAGAGGAAATACAGGAAAATGTTAATATTGGGGGGAGGTAAATAACATAATTTATCCCGTTCTTTATTTTTTACATTTTGTGCAGTGGGATTACCATTACTTTTATAATGAAAAGGGCATGTTTGTGGTAAATGAAGAAAACAGACTGACACCTAAGAAAAAACATTGTATTTGAAATAAAAGTCGGAGTGGCCCCTGGTGGGTGGCAGGTGGGAAGGTGGACAGGCAGCCCCGCCCCCTTCGCTGGGTCCTGGCTGCAGGCGGAGGTCTCACACACACACCCCCATTTCAGACCCAGTCCCAAAGACAAGAGCCCTGTGAGGAAGGTGAGTGCATGCGAGGGCCGAGGGCCGTCCTCCCGGGGAAGGGCTGGTCTCTGGGAAGGTCCAGGACCTTGAGCCCTCCCTTCTCTCCACAGGCCAGACCCACACCCAGACCCAAAAAGCCTGGATTCAAGAAATGAGGAGCCAGGAGTGGCCTGGCCAGTGACCAAGGGAGGACCTGCAAGGCCACCATGCACAGCGAGCCTTCCTGGGGTATACCGTGGACCTTCCTGGGGTGCACCATGGGACCAGGGAACATCCCCCCAGGCCCCTCCATCTGAGTCTGAATTTGATGGCGGTATTGGGAGGCAACGCAAGAGCCCCTCACCTCACCTCTCCCGATTCAGCAGGACCTGGAGGGAAGAGTCCCCATCTCAGGGACACAATAAAGTTTGCTTTGCCACCTTGTTTCTGCATCTTCCTAGGAGCCCTACTTGTTGCCAGGTGCAGTGAGCCCTTATGCCCAGAAGAGGGCGGCGTGTGCCAGCTCCCCGGCCTGGGGCCAGGCCCTTCGCGCTCTGCTCTACCATCTCCCTCTCTTCCCCTGGCTCCCCCACCATCCATCTTTGGGGGAAGAACCAAGTGTCGCAGCTCCTTACCCAGCTTTGACCTCCTGCTCCTGGCCCGAGGGAGGGAGCTAGAAATGCTGTGGGTGTTCTTGCGTCCACACTCCGTCCAGCGGGGCCCCACCCCCACTTCCCAGAAGTGCAACCTGGGCTATGGCAGCGGGCTGTGCTGAGGAAGGGCCCGGACCCTGTGGGACCAGCCTGAGGTGCATCTACTGACACCGCTGGGCACAGGCCAGCCCTGTTCTCCCAGGCATGTGTCCTGTTCGGGGCAGGCGCCGCTCACAGGGCCTCCCCCGTGTGAAGATCTGTTGGGCAGGAGCCCAGAGGCCTGCACCTTACAGGAACTCCCCCAGGTAGGGAGCCGGGGGGCTTCAGGGAGGTGGACAGGTGAACACTTCCAGCTCCTATGCTGGGTTCCCCCAGGGCAACTCTCGGAGCCACCAAACCAGGCTGAGGCCAACAGAGGACTGATAAGGGGTGAATGACCCCTTGCACGGCCCTGGCCTCCCCAGGCCTGCAGAGCCACTTTGAGGCCAGTCCATCCTTGGTGACACACAGGTGGCCCCCAGCTCGGGTTATACTTTAGGGCCTCTGCTGGGCTTCTCCCTGCCCCTCCCAGCACTTCCAGGCCTCAAGTGGGCTGATGGGGAGCTGGCCCTGCCCCTCTCCCAGATCCTCAGGGGTGGGTCCCAAAAGGAGGGCTTTGGGCACCTTTGCCAGTTCTCTTGATGGCAAAAGAGGTAGCAGAGGGCGGGGCTGGCATCCCTGCTGCTTGCTCTCTACACCCCATGGGATGAAGTGAGCACCGTCCCACCCTCTAACAAATGAGGACAGGCCACTGACCTCAGGTCATTCAGATGAAAAGGTAAGCGGTCCAGGTCTGACTCAAGGTAGGCAGCTGGCAGTCACCGTGGCTTCCGGCCACAGCACTACAGAGTGAGCAAGACGAACCCCTCACCCTCACATTGCCCACAGCGCAGTGGAAACACAACAGCCAACAACATAATTTCAATTACTTTCAGGTGCTTTGCAGGAAGTCAAACAGGCTCATTTCCAGGGCAGAAGAGTGCTGTCTAGCTAGGAGAGCCGGCAGGAGGCTCCTAGGAGCAGGAACAGAGAGTGCAAAGGGCCTGAGACAACAAGCTTGAGGTTTGGACAGAACAAAGGCTGATGTGGTTGCAGTAACAACACGTAATTAGCCCTATTTCACATGCAGAGAGTGAGGCACAGAGAGGTTGAACACTTCCCCTGGGGTCACACAGCTAGTGGAGGAGTCAGAATTCAGTCCCAGGTAGCCTGGCCCCAGAGCCCTTGTTTTTAACCCCTGTGGATGAGAGGGAGGGACAGGCAGCCAGGGGTGCTAGGAAGTCTCATAAACTAAGAGCAGGAGTTAGAACTGAGTCCAGATGCCTGGGTAACGGGGGGCCCTGGGAAGAGCAGCACCAGAGCCTGGTGACAGCAAAGCACGGCTCCCCTCAGCCCTCCCCGGGTCGGCACATGTGGGCACTCAACAGCTGCCCGGTGCTAACTCGATTTCCCTGTGCAGCAGGCAGTAGGGGTCAGATAGCCAGGATGGGGGTCTACCTGCATCGCTGAGGGGCCATGCCCTCCCTCAGCCCTAGCTCTTCTGCTTCTCAACAGGAAAAGTGTGGGCTGGGGTCAAAGCAGGTGCTGACAAGTGGCTGATCTGCAGGTGGGCTCTGGGAGCTCTGTGTCTGCCCAGCTGGGCTGTTAGGAGGAACAGGTGTGAGACATCCCAGTTGGGGGGTATCAAACTTGTCACTAGGGGGTGGGGATTAAGAACTGTGTGGCCCAGGCTGATTCTCACTTCCCTTACCACCTCCTGCCAACCCCCCTTCATAAATGTTAATGAACCCTGCTCACCTCCCCTCCTCCCAGCTCCCTCTGGTCAAGGGAGAAAGACAGTTAAAGTTTAGGTAAACTGGCCCTGGCCGGTTTGGCTCAGCGGTTAGAGCATTGGCCTGCGGTCCCGAGAGACCCGGGTTCGGTTCCCGCTAAGGGCACGTACCTTGGTTGCAGTTTGTCCCCGGCCCTGATTGGTCGTGCGGGTGGCAGCCACTCGATGTGTCCCTTCACATCGATGTTTCTCTCTCTCTGTTCCTCTCTCTCCCTCCCTCTCCATCTGAACAAAAAATGGAAAAATGTCCTCGGGTGAGGAAAAAAAAAAAAAAGAAAAAAAAAAAAGTTTAGGTAAACTGAGGCTGGACCACATGAGAGGGTCTCTGTTCCCTCCCTCGATTCTTGTGGGGATATTTGATACTTTTCAGGGAGGGTCTATCATCTCAGTTGAGTTTTGACAGCATCAATAGTTGTTATTTCCTTTTTATAAACTGTGAAGCTGAGACCAGAGACATGAAGGGACTTGCCACAGGTCACACAGCCTATAATGGCCGGGCCAGGGGATGGGGAGAGAGGCCAGCCCTGGAACACTCTCTGCTGCCTCCCCACTGGGGGCCCTGGCGTCTCCATGGAGGTTAAGGAGCAAGCAAAGTCCAAACGCCTGCAGGGCGGGCTGGGGAGGGGCTGGGAGCACATGTCACACTGAAACAAGCCATGCCCCCTGGCACCAGTGCCCTGGCTGAGCCCTAAGGCCAAGCTTGACTGCTGGCATCTGTTACCATGGGGACCCAGGCTGGGCTAGGGGCTGGCCAGTGACATCAGGCCCTTCCCCCACTGATAGAGATCAGGTGCTCGGGCGACACTAGGTGGGATGCCCCATGCCTACCGCTCCTCATGGCACCTCTGGCCTCCATGACACCCCCACACCAAAACCCAAGCCTGAGCTATCTCCTCTCTGTGTCTCCTCTCTTATTTGTGACTCAGGGATGAAGGTCAAGATGAGGTAGCCTGCCCTGGCCAGTTTGCTCAGTGGTTAGAGCTTCAGCCCGCGGACCGGAGAGTCCTGGGTTCGGTTCCCACTAAGGGCACGTACCTTGGGAGCAGCTTGTTCCCAGCCCTGGTTGGGGTCGTGTGGGTGGCAACTACTTGGTGTGTCTCTCTCAGGTCGATGTTTCTCTCTTCTTCTCTGCCTCCTGCTCTCCCTCCTGCTCTATCTGAAGATAAATGCAAAAAAGTCCTCAGGTGAGGATTAAAAAAGAGAGAGAGGAGGTGGCCTTTAATACCCTACCGGCGAGCCGGGGGCTGGTAGGGATGTGGGCACCAGGCAGGCCACTGGCACCTGGAGAGCAGAGCTGGAGCAGGCACCAAGCACAGCAGAGAGGTTGACTGGGGAAGTTTCTATGGAAGAGGCAGTTTAAAGGGCCCCAATGGTGGGAGGAATGCGGGAAATGGAAATGCTCAGGAGGCCTGGCCTGGGCAGAAGCAGAAGTGGCCAGGCTGGGGTGTGTTCTGAGAACTGCCAGCCCTGGCCTGGGCGTCCGGGCACCTGTACCTGGTCCCAGCCATGCCACCAACTAGCTAGGAGACTCCATCAATGATGACTCTCTAAGGTCCTCTCTAGTTTTTTTTTTTTTTATTCTCACCTGAGGACTTTATTTGCATGTATCTTGAGATAGAACAGGAGGGAGAGAGGGAGAAAGAGACATCAATGTGAGAGAGACACATCGAGTGGTTGCCACCCAGAGGACCCCAACCCGGGCCGGGGACAAACTGCAACCGAGGCATGTGCCCTTAGCAGGAAACCGAACCCAGACTCTCCAGTCCGCAGGCCAACACTCTAACCACTGAGCCAAACCGGCCAGGGCAAGGTACTCTCATTTTGACATTCTTTCCATTTGACTCCAGGCTAGACTCCCCAGTTGTGCAGGGATGGGGGCTGACACTGCCCGCCCCAGGCCATCTCAGGCTCAGCTGGCCCAGCCCCTGCCGGTTGGCTGGGGAGGGAGAGGGCGGGAGCCCAGCACTGCAGCTGGAGGGTCAGAGGTGTCCCATTGTCTTTGTGGGGGGACAGGGATGGCAGACAGCTCTGTGGATTGATCTAGCTCAGGAAGGTGAGAAGGTCTGAAGGTGAGAGCTTGGCCCTCCCACTCATCTCTTTAGGTAAATAAATCCACGTCTGTCTAGCATTTCCCCTTCTCGCCCCACCTGGGGGCACTGAGGCCCCCAGGGAGCCAAGCTGAGGTGTGAGTCAAGGAGGGGTTTCCCTCAGAGGTCCTCCAGGACCAGCCCCCTTCCAAAGTCACCATCCCTCACCTCTGCAGGGAAGGAACAGACTCCAAGACCTCACTCTGGGATGTGCTGGGCCCAGAGGTGTGGACACGGCAGAGACCCAGGCACAGCCCCTGAGGAACAGGAGGAGCATGGACTTTGGAAACCTGGTTCTGCCATTCACCAGCTGGGTCCTTCCGAGCTAATTACCAACCAGTGTACCTGGGTTTCCTCATCTGCAGGATGGGGTGTTATGGGCCTGATGCAGAGTGGGACCAGAGGGCATGTGAAGAGCTGGTGGGCACCTCATCCCGGGCAGCTGCTCGGGGACCTGAAGGAGGTCTCAAGAGGCTCTGGAATTGGCTGCTGCCTGGGAAGGAAAGGTGGGGGGTCGTATGAGGCCCAGAACATAAACCTCTTGATGTCCGATTGTTATGTCTTTGGGTCCTTCAACATCTGGGCATTGCTGTCCCCATGTCTCAGAAAAAACTGCCAAGGCCCAGCCGCACCCAGCTCTTCTGTCCGCACCTCAGGACAGCCTTTGGGACACCATGGGGTCTTCCACAGCCCCAGCTGTCCCTTCCTCCCCACCTCTGCCAGTCGGGACAGTCTTAACCCCTCCTTCCCAGTGGCCAGAGAGCAGATAGAGGGGCCAGGAGCGCCAGAGGCCACAGAAGCCCAGCTCCTGGCCAAGCCCACCTCCTGCCCCTGCAGGGAGGCTCCTCCTTTTAAGGCTGCTTCTGGGAATTTCCATCCCCAGCCAGACCCAGGGACCTCAGAGATACCTGCTGCTCACCCTTGGGGAGTGGGGCCCCCAACCTGAGGGCAGGAGAAGCTGGCCCAGAGAGGGGAGGGGGCACTCTTGTTGGGGTCTGTGAGGGTCAGGAATAGCTCGGGAGACCAGAGGGCCAGCCTCCTACTGCGAGGCTCCAGCAGCCCCATCCTCTGGGCTTGGTAGCCCAGGAGAGGTTGGCAGCCCCGCCAGTGGCTGCTTTGCAGTCTCACTGGCCAGGAAGGTGGACACATCACACCTCAGTCTCCCAATTACGCCCTCCTCCCCCTCCTCCATCTCCTCCTCCCCTCTCTCTCCTCCTCTTCCCCTGTCTCTCCTCCTCTCCCCCCTGAAAACCTGTGGCTTGAAGAGACCTTGGCTTCTCTGGGACTCTACCCCTGGGGACTGCCCACATCTCCTCCTGAGTTTGGGGGCAGGTGGGTAACTGCCCCAAGAAACCTCTCCTGCGATGGAAGCCGCCCGCCTCCTGCCCAACTTCACTCTGTAAGTGCGCAGCCTCTCCGACTGGAGTTTGTTGCCATCTCCAGCCTCCGGCAGTCCTAATCTTACCGGGACTCCCACAGACGGGCGGTGGGGGGTATGGGCCGGGGCAGGCACCGGGTGCGCCCTGGGCTGGCTGCTGGCACCCACACCTGGGTCTGCCTCCTGTCCCCATACAGGTGCCTGCAGCTACTGATTCTCTGCTGTCAAACTCAGGTAGGCAACCTGCCCCACTAGCTTCTCTTCATCTCTCTCACCCCACCAAAGGGGAAGGGGCAGGTTCCAGCCTCTCTCTGAGGTTAAAGGGGGTCAGCCTTTGGAGGGGAGCAGGAGAAGGGGCTATCACAGGTTTGGGGATTGACTGAGGTTTTTAGCTGTCCTCCCGCCCATGAGCCTCTCTACTTCCCCCAGGGTCTCTGCCTCTCTCTCCATCCCTCGCACTGGGTCACCCCAAAGCTAAATGCAGGGGCACCACAGACTTGAGGGATGGAGCCAGGAGTGGCTGGAAGAGGGTGGAGGTGCTGGCTCAGGTGAGGCTTGTACCTGAAAGGACAGGTTTCCATGCAAAACCACCTGTGTACCCCACTACCACCCACACGGATCTCCCGGGGGGGTGCTGTCCTGGGGGTCATGGGAGCAGTCAGGATGCCCAGCCAGGGCAGGTAACTCCTTCCCTACCGGCAATAAGGTCAAGCCCAAAGAGGTTGTTTGAGACAAGATTCAGGGTTTGCTTCTCCATGTTCCCCCCCACCCAAGCCTGCCCCCCCATGCCCACCTCCCCCTGCCCCTGCCCCAGCCCAGCCCAGCCCGAGGCTTGGTCCCTTTTTGTGATCCTCCATAAAAGTGCTGCTATTAAAATGCACTGGTCCAGAACCGTGCTGGGGAGATCGCTTGGCTTTCCCAGGCCAGAGGCCGCTTCTCTTCATATCCAGTGGGGACTTTTTTTGAAGGTAATGCCTTTTCTCTGAGAGAAGGAAACAGGCTGCCTTTGAAGCAGTGGGGGGGTGGGAGAGAGAGACACCCCCCTTTTCCTTCCCCCTTTTGCTCAAGCCCCCGTTCCAGGCCTTTTGCTTCACACATCCAGGGAGAGCAAGAAGAAAGCCCCCCAGCCTGGCCAGGAGGGGGTGGGGGTGGGCCCAACCTGTTCTGGAAGAGGAATTAGCACAATGGTGCGGCTGGCCTGGCGTTTATGGCCTGGCTGAGGCCCCATTCAGGATTCGGGGAAGGTGGCAAAGCTGTCCTTTCCCCCTTGAAGTGCCCCTTCACCCCCCTTGAAGGGGGGCAGCAGGCCGGACCACAGCTATGCTTGAGGGGCCGGCTGACAAGCAGCTGTCTGCAGCCGTGAAGGGGAGGTCCCCCTGCAGCGGGAACATGAAAGGGACAGGCAAGGTCCTGCGGGGAGAGCAACTTGTGGGCTGTGGGCTGTGGGGGGGCGTGGGGCTGCTTTTGTGCAGGGCTTGAAGGGGGATGAGGAGGGGCTTTGGGGGGCCTTTCTGCTCCTGACCTGGAACAGACAGCCAGGAGGAGGCTGCGGCCAAGAAGGGCGGAGGGCCTGAACCTGGGCCAGGCGGCTGGGGCCGGGGCTGGGGACAGGCGGACCCCACCCCTGGCAGGGAGGCGGGTCCCCCACCCCAAAGTCAGGCCTCAGGTTTTCCCAGGGAGGGGTGTGGGGTGGGCGGGGGTCTCCCAGGCTGGGATTCTGGCAAGGCTCCTGGTCTATGGAAAGCTGAAGTTGGAAATGGCAGGGACACACAAAGGGTTAACCCCAAGCAGGTTCCAGTCAGACTCCAGCTGTTCCCTCACCTTGCCTTCCTCAAGCTGGCACTTCCCACCCCTCCCTCCAGGAGAAAGTGGCCCTAACAGATGCCCATCGATCGATCGGAGTCTAGCTCTGTGCAGATGGCTGGACTGGGGACTGGGGACAGGGAGAGGCTGTCCCAGCATAGTCCGCGGGTCCAGGTAGAGAGAGAAACATCTGAGTGCTAGAGCGAAGGCAGTGTCCGCCGCTGGGAAGAGGCATCCAGCCTGCACCTTGCTGCAGCGAGGGCAGGAAGTGGCCTCTCTCCGGCGGCCGTGCTGCAGATGGGTAAGGAGAGACCCCTGGGCCAAGCACTTATCCCGCCTTTGTACACATGGTGAGTGGGTGGCCAGAGCCCCTCCCCTCCCGAGAAGCAAGTGTGTGGCCGCACCGCTAGCCATGAGCCTCTTTTACATTGTGCACCAGGCAGGTGGCCTGGCAGGCGTAGCCCTGGAGCCACTTGGTAGCACCTCTGGCAGCTGCCCTCACCTCCCTCCTCTAAGGAGGCTGCTCACCCATACCGGAGGGAGAAAATCTGGAAGGGGACTCTGGCTTCTCTGGGGACCTGAGTACCCAGGGGGCGAGGTTGGGAAGTTGGACATAGCTCAGGGTTCCATGTTCTATAAAGAAATGCTTCCAGGGGCCCTGCAGACGCCTAGAGACAAGGATCTTAGAGCCCCCCTAATGCTCTCCAGTAACCCTACCAGATCGGCTGCTGTATGTGCATATTCGCATGCACCTGTGCTGGGGGTGGGGTCCTTCAGGGCCAGTGCAGAGGATGGGGGAACCTAGTTGTCCGGGTAACAGAGTAAGACCCAGCGTTCTGGAGAAGTGACAGCTCCGCTCCAGAGGCAGGACAGGCGTCTGTCTCCGCCTAACACTGCCACCTGTGCAGCTAGCTGCATAGAACACGGGTCGACACCAGGACTCTGAGTGTTCCTTTCAGCTCCCAGAGTCATGTTCCAAATCTGCACTCTACCATCAAGTGTCCCCAACCCTGGGCAGCCACCAGTCCTCTGCTGAAGGATGAACAGGGAGCCAAGAGGTCATGACTGGCTCACCCCAGGGGCCTGAGAAGGTCATGGCCATGTGCCCCCTTCGCCATGCACCTCTACCTCCCAGGACGAATGGCCTGCCCCGCCACACTCACCTCTGCACCCCTCTCCCCTGGATGGACCAGTGGTGGTGTCACCCAAAGCAAATTGACACTATTTTTCCCTTGGTAACCGCAAAGGGGGAGAATCACCCGTCTCCTAATTTTAACCAGTACGTGAGGGACCAGGGTTCCATGTCCGACCAGCTGAGCAGGCGGCAGATCCGTGAGTACCAGCTGTACAGCAGGACCAGCGGCAAGCACGTGCAGGTCACCGGGCGTCGCATCTCCGCCACCGCCGAAGACGGCAACAAGTTTGGTGAGAACCAGCCCTCACCTGAGGCCACCCATACGCCCGGCCAGCTTTACCTGGTTCATCCCAGATCATGTGTCAGGGCCTCCTCCTGTTCCCCACCTGAGTCTGGAGGTCAGGCTTGTTTGGGGAAGAGCTTCCTCCCCTCACGCCCCCCACGCCCCGGGCTGGCAACCCTCATAGACAGAAGTCTCTCTCCCATCACAGCCAAGCTCATAGTGGAGACAGACACCTTTGGGAGCCGGGTACGCATCAAGGGGGCTGAGAGCGAGAAGTACATCTGCATGAACAAGAGGGGCAAGCTCATCGGGAAGGTGAGGCCGGAGGACAGAGGAGATGCTTGACTGGATCTTACTGGGGTGGGGTGCCAGGGCCCAACCGCATCTCACTCCCCTCTGCGGGGTGACCTGGGACCAGGACTCTTCGCTCTCATCCACCACTGTCACTGTCTGTGTTCTCCAGGTCAGAGTCCCCCTGGGTCTACAAGCACTCTGAGAACACCGACTGGTCTACAGGGCCCTTGGCTCAGATTCACAGGGTATTTTCCAGTATCAATGAGTACGAATTTCAGCACCTACATTATGTTGCAGCCCCTGTGTTGAGGATTAAGTGCTACTAGGGATTGAAAGTGGGCATTCATACAGGGTCAGAAGCTCCCCAAAGGTCAGTGGGCTCCATGGAACTCAACCAGCAAGAGGCACACTGACCACCTCCTAGTGTAACCGTGTACTAATATAACTGCCTAGTATAATCGTGTACTAGCATAAGCTCCTAGTGTGACCGTGTGCTAGTGTGACCACCTAGTGTGGCTGTGCTAGCGTGACCACCTAGTGTGACTACGTGCTATTGTGACCACCTAGTGTGACTACCTGTGTGACTGTGCTAGTGTGACCACCTGTGTAACCTAGTGTGACTGTGCTAGTGTGACCACCTAGTGTGACCGTGTGCTAGTGTGACCGTGTGCTACTGTGACCGTGTGCTAGTGTGACCTTCTAATCTGCAGTGGTTGGCTCAGCACTGTTGTGCAGGGAGAATTTCATTTCCTTTAGCATTGGTCAATCCTGGCTTCCAATTCTGGCTGTTTTCACCAAATATTTGCTTATTTTTGTCAAGCCTCAGGCTACACATTGTAAAAATTGGCACAGCATCAGGGTTGTCTGTAGGATCTACACACAGTTGCTGTCCATAAATGTTTGCCCTCCTCTTCATCAGACAGTGGTGCCTCCCCTTCCTCTAGCCAGCAACGCCACTGGCCCAGAATGAGGATGGCACTTGTGTCCAAGTGCCCACTGACTGTGCAGGGAACCAACTGCACAGTTACCTAGATCTATCTATCTTTATTTATTTTTTTGGTTAATCTTCACCCAAGGATATTTTGCCACTGATTTTTTAGATAGAGTAGAAGAGAGAGAGAGAGAGAGAAACATCCATGTAAGAGACACATCGATTGGTTGCCTCCCACTTGACTCTGACCAGGGCCGGGGATCGAGGTACATTCCTTTGCCTGGGAATCAAACCCGAGACTCTTCAGTCCGCGGGCTGATGCTCTAACCACTGTGCAAACCAGCCAGGGCACCTCGATCTACCTTTATGCCACATCTAGGTCAACAGAAGCTCGGCATGGCTCAATACCTTGCTCAAGGTGTACAACTTCCAAACGACACGCCTGCATCTAAGTGCAGATCTGACTCCAAGCAAAGCTTGTTCCTTTCTCCCACTTTGCCTCTCCAACAAGGGTGCCATCTCACCAGGCAGAAATCCCTGGGCTCCCAGCCCCTCCTCCGCCTTAAAATAGGCCCGTAGGGCAGATAAGCCAGACAGGGTGGACAACTTCCCTCCTCTCCTTCCTTCCCCGCAGCCCAGCGGGAAAAGCAAAGACTGCGTGTTCACGGAGATTGTGCTGGAAAACAACTACACGGCCTTCCAGAACGCGGGGCATGAGGGCTGGTTCATGGCCTTCACACGGCAGGGCCGGCCCCGCCAGGCTTCCCGCAGCCGCCAGAACCAGCGAGAGGCTCACTTCATCAAGCGCCTCTACGAAGGCCAGCTGCCCTTCCCCAACCAGGTCGAGAGGCAGAAGCAGTTCGAGTTTGTGGGCTCAGCCCCCACCCGCAGGACCAAGCGCACTCGGAGGCCACAGCCCCTGACGTAGTCAGGGACACAGGGGGTGGGCAGCTGCCCCTCACCAGCCTTCCCATCCCCTTCCCTTCCTAATCCAAAGATGGGGCTGGGGTGGAGGGAGAGGAGCCAGAGACCCCAGGAGAGCCCTGAGGACCGAGCATCAGAGCCCCAAGCTGGACGGGGGCAGGACTGGCGTCAACCAGGGCTGGGCCTCAGGCCGCCTCCTGGACCCCACACTGGAATAGGCCCCCAGGGGTGGGACAGGCCCCAGGAGAGAAGCTGTAGTGTCCCCTGGACGCAGACTCACTGAACAGGGCGGCAAGGTCAACAGGTTCAAGGCCTTGCAGACACTGCCAGGAGGTGGCTCATCCCAAATTTTGCTCCGGGTGACTCACTTACTCTGCCCCCAGTCTCCAAGCTCCTCCTGGTCAGACCATAGGGAGGGACTTTCATTTTTGTTTCAGGAAAAAAGAAAAAGGGAGAAAATAAGAAGGCTGACCATTCTACACATTCCACTACCCAGGCCTGCACCCCCACCCCCAGCTCCCAGCCCCAGAATAAAACCATTTTCCCGCAAACGGGTGATCTGAAGGGGGCGCGGAACGAGGGGATCCAATTCTAAAACCCCACTGGTGACAAATGGTTCCTCGGAGAGGTGCGGGGACGCGCAGCGCCCAGGCCCGGCTCCGGCAGGTGCAGGGCCGCGCGGGACAGGGCGGGGCGTCCTCCAGGGGCCTCAAGCAGGCCTGGGTGGCCCTGGAGGCCCGCACCTCCGCCAGTGGGAGCCCAGGACGCCCCTCCCTCTGCGAGCTCTGGTTTCTTGGCTCCTCTGGCGCGTCCCGTGCTACCTGTTGGGGCGCAGAGAACCCACACCCTGGGGCCGAGCCCCAGGCTGGGCGGGTGGCCAGCCGGGCAGCAGGCCCGGTGCCCGGCCGCTGAAGCCGCCGGCTGGGAGCAGGATTGCTTTTTTCCGGTGAGGAGGGTCGGTGGGGGAGGAGGGCAAGGACCAGCGGAGGGGGAGTGAGAACGAGAAAGTGCCCTGGTCCGCTCAGGTCCCGGGCGGAGGGCGGAGGGCGGGAGCACACCTGGGGGACTCAGAGGCCGCAGGGAGGGGGAGGGGCCGAGGGGGCCTCCCCAACCCTGCTCGGTGGGCTTCCCCAGGGCTGCCAGGTGCGAGCTTCAGGGGTGGGACTTAGAGGCCATAAAACCCGCCTCTCCCCTTTCGCACTGGCTTTTCATCTTGTCCAGGCGGAGACCCCTCCCTCCGGTCTCTCCCGCAACCCCAGTCTGTGCTTAAGGGGAAACACCCTCCTCAGTCCTATCTTCTGCTGATGGACCCCCAGTCTCAGTTTACCTCCTTCCCAAGAATACATCAGGGAAGGGGATTATGGAAAGAAAAGAAAAGAGATTAAAGACTTCACTTCTCCCAAGAATGGCCTAAAAATAAGGACAGAATGGGGAGCTGTGGAAGGGCCCGGTTCAGTCCAGTGGGAGGAGGGAAACTGTAGTGGAAGTGGAGGGGAGGGGTCACTCATCTCTTCCTTGGGAGGACTGGAGTCTAAGGCCCCCAACTCTGGGCAATTTACAAAACCCCAGCCAAGAGGAAGGTCCCCAGGCCCCAGGACATTCTCCCTCCAGTTTGTCATAATTGCTTTTCACCAGGTCGCTTTTTTCTCTACCCCCCACCCATCCCCCAGCCACAAAGAGCCTTAATCCCGGGAAGACGGGGGGGGGGGGGGGATGTGTTGAGGGTCATTTTTTGGCGGGGGTGTGGGGAGGGTGGTCTGGAGCCACAGCTGATAACTGGCAAGATCAATGGGATTTTAAACTCAGGGGCAACGCCCAGCAATTACCTGAGGACAAAGAGTTGGGGCCCCCAGGTGTGGAGGACTGGACTTGCGGGGCTTGGAAGAAAGTGTGTTGGGGAGGGGCAATTATTGCAATCCCTCTGATTTCTGAAGGAATTTGAGACCTTCTTTAAAACTCTAGACTGCTTCCCCCCAGCCAGGCTCTCAGACCCACCCCCACCTTCCCTGGCTGGGGTTAGAGAGAGCTTCAAAGGTGGACAGAGCCCTTTGTCTCGCTCTGCTTTCTTCCCTGCCTTTCTGGGCCCCTCCCTCCCTCTCTGACCTCCCAGCACAGACAGGCCTCTGGGGGCCAGCTCCAGAAAGCCCTCACTGTTTCCTTTCTCGCTTTCTGAGGTGAGACCTGTCCTAGAGGGACAAATTGGGGAACAGTGAGGGAGGAAGGCAACTTGGAGGCTTATGCCATCTCAGAGAGTGCCCGTGTCCACCCAAGCCCAAGCCTGGCAGGTCTCGTGCCTGCTTGTGGCCTTGGGTCCCTGATTCACCACAGTATTTCGAACCCATGCAGAGACCAGCCCTTCCCCAGCGGTGCCCCTCCATGCTGCCCGGGGAAGTCTGTTCAGCTCATTCTGTCTGAGCTGGTGATTGCAAAGATGCTAGCAGGAAGAGGTCAGAAGAACGGATCTTGAGTGTGTGAAGTATATGAATGTGTGATAGGAAGGCGGCTTCCCGTGGGCCTTAGCCCTGCAGCTGGCACAGTCCCTGGTTGCTTCTGTGTGCCCGGAGATTCTAGGCAAGTGTGCAGATGGGTGAGGGGTGGGGCAGGAGAAGGCTTAGGGCAAGATGAACCTGTCCATCTCAGGGAGGATGTGACAAGGTGAAGGGAGGTGGCAGCAGCATGCCTCAGACCCTGTATCTGTTTAGGATTACCAAGAACTCAAGTTTAGAGATCCATATTGATCTCTCCAGTCCTGTCCTCCAAACAGCCAGGTGAGGCAGAGGGGGGCCAAAGCAGGAACTCGGAAGGGGAATCCACTCTTTTTAGTCATTGCAAGCTGGCTTCTACTAAGTCATTTCGTTCAGCCCTGTCCCTGGGATTCCAATGGCGGTGACTTTCCAGTCACCAAGCCAAAAAGCGTTGCCTCAGACTTCAGTGTCCTCGCCGAGGACCACCCTTTCTGAAGCCCTCCCCTCCCTCAGCCCGCTGAAGGCTGGCCTTCTTCATTCTCTCCTTCTCCCCCTGCTCCGGTCTCCTTTCCTGCCTCCTCACCACAGCAACGTGCCCTAGGATTTCTGCCGTCCTCTTCCCCTCTCCTCCCCCGGCTGCCTCTCTGAGCAATCCCGTCTCAACTCTCACCCTTTCCCATGACTGCTTTCTCTCCCAAACTGGGAACACCACTGCGACCTCACTAGGATGTCTCAATCACTCAGAGCTTTCTAAATGGTCTCCCTGCCTCCTGCCGCCACCCCGCCCTGACATGGCACGGTTTATTCAGCCTGCCTTGCTCGGCCGGAAACCACAGCTCTGGCATGTCACGTGGTCTCTAGCAAACAGCATGGTTTTCGGGACCCCTGCACAATCCTCACTAAAGGCCCTTCCCAGTCCCGTCCCTACAGCTCCTCAAGAACACTGGCAACACGGCCGCCCTGGCCCTTCAGCAGGCACGCCTGTCCATCTTTGTCCACGAGGTTCCCGCTGCCTAGCGTGCCCTCCTCCAGAGAGCTGGCGCATCCAGACCATAGCCATCTTGTCTCCCCGTGGACTTTCCCACTCTAGGGGGACGGTCCACTGCGCGGTCTCCCGGGCCGCACAGCCCTTGCCCCATGGCACACATCACAGCTGGTCCAGACCGTGCTTATTTATGCTTGTGTCATGGATCTGCTAGATAGCAAGTGTGATGTGAAAATAGTCCATCTTCGCCACCCCACCCCCCAGTACCCAGCACTGTACATTACACAGAGTGAGGATTTATTGAGGGAATAAACCAGGAAAAGGCCCAGAAAGATGTCATAGGCCCAGCACCCTGCAGTCCCTCACGGTGTAGGTGATGAGCAGCCAGAATCCAGTCTTTACCCTCCACCCTTAGGTGGAGGTGGATGGGGAGGGATCCTAAGCAGTTGATCCAAATATGTATCTATTCCCTACAATGTACAGCGCTATGCCAGCCCTTCAGTTCATTAACATGATGGACAAGACATTGCATCATCCCATCAGGTTTTCAGGACACTTGAAATTTAATTGGGGGATAAACCCAATTGTTTAAAGGCAGTTGTTCATGGGAATTTTGGAACTCTCTGTCAAACCTAAGACAGCACAGCAGCACGTGGTACGTCCCCAAAGAGCTATGGGGAGCGAGGACAGCAGTGTGCACGGCGCTCTGGTGCGGTACCAGGCAGTTTGTGAGGCGTGCGCACACTGCGCCCTTATTTTTAGGGCACAGGGTTATTCCCATGTCATGTGTGGGCGAGCTCAAAACACAGACATGTTAAATCACCCACGGTCACAGCTAGTGGGCCCTACAATCTAGATTCTGTCCTGTCTTCAACACCTCGAGTGGGATGTTCTCCACTCCCTGCCCAGGCACGGTGGGTCCTTGGGTGGAGAGTGCATGGGTGGGGCGGTTGGGAAGGGCTGGGGTTTGCATGATCTTGAAGAACAAGCAGGATGTCAGCCAGCAGAGGAGACACGCAAGGGGAAAACACTGCAAGTGAAAATAGCATGAGAAGAAAAGCCATGAGTCAGCAAACATGAAGTGTGTTCGGAGGAAGGTGAGCAGCTGATCCACTTGGCCAGAGCTGAACGTTTGCATAGAGCAGCGGCAGGAAGTGATTGGGTCACAGTTTAGAGAGTTTGGCAGGAAGGAGACAGTGAGAGGCCTTGAGAAGGGGACTGAGCAGGTGAAATTGTGAGGTTGGGTTTGGGGGACAGGCTGGTCTGGTGGCAGCATGCTGGGGGCTGAGGCTCTGGGGTCCAGGAGACAGAGTATCTGGTGATTGGAGATCGGGAGACATGGTTTCCAGACTCTGATGAGAAAGAGTCCCCTCTAGGCCCGCATCCTTCCTTTTATTCCCCTGGCACAGTTCTCCGGCACCTCTCACTTCTCCTCAGGTGCCCAGGCGCCCTGGTCAGCCTCCCTGGGAGTTAATATTTAGACGGCACAGGCACAGGGGCCACCCCTGGCACTCTCCGTTCCTGGCAGTTTCACACCCGGGGCGGAACAAGGGGCACTGGAGTGAGACAGAGAGAAAGGACAGACAGCCTATTGCTCAGGCCCTGGGGAGGGGGCAGGAGGCAGGGCCCAGTTCCGTCCGAACATTTGGCACCACTGACCTTGCTGGGGAGAGGAGTTGAGAACCAGGTGTCCTGGGCCTGGGACCACCTGTCGGGGAGCCCCTGTTGTGGACACAAACACCCATCCTCAAGGCCGCAAGGCACTCCTGAGCTTAAAGGTGCACTAGTGTTGTTACCAGCCTCCGGGTATGGCCAAGCAATACCCAGGAAGCCCGCCCTAACAGCACCCGGTATTCAGTGTTGCCTGCTTCTAGGGGAGGTTTTTGCCTCCCCTCTCACCCCTGCCTAATGGGGAGGCAGACAAGCGATGGGGGAGGATCGTCCAGCTGGCCTTGGGGAGTCTGAGGCCTTCCCAGAAGGCAGGGCAGGAGGCAGAGCAAATCTCTCCCCAGAATGAGGCCAGAGGTGAGGTGGAAGTAGAGCATGACAGGCTGGAGAAGGCTGCCGTCCTGACTGTGCCCTCAGGACCCCTCCCCAACAGGGCAGGGACCAGGATCACTCTCAACAAGAAATGACCTTGACAACTACCATGCCAGGTCGACAGAGGGAGCCCTCACTCCGCAGCCCCTGGCTCCAGGGCTGGCTAGTGAACTGTCCCTGCCCAAGGCCGCTGTCAGTGGAGGGACATTCCTACGGAGCTGGGGCAGTGGGGACGGGCCTTGTGGGTGGGAAGAGCACTGTCCCAGGCTCTGACTTTCCTGTAGGTCCAGGGCAGCGAGAGGGTTGGGGACCAGGAGGGGGCGGTCAGGGAAAGCAAGAGTCACGTGGGGTCAGGTTTCTGGGCCAAAGCCCAGCCTTGCCCAGCACCTCTCCTTCTGACCATTCAGCACAGACTACCCTCCCTTGTACCTATACTCTCTCCCAACTCCACACTGAGCTTTCTAGAATGGGTGTGCTGCCCGGGACTGCCTCCTTCTCCAGGGCAGCCTGCTCTCTGGCCCTGAATTAGGGTTCTCCTGAGGCCATCCCAGGAGCCAATCCCAGAGCCTTGTGGAAGGGGGGAGGGGAGAGTGGTGGGGCTGGGTAGGAGCTCTGGCTCCTGAAGCTCCCCCACCCACTCCACCCACCCCAGCAGAGAGGCGAACCTCAGGCCTTCTCCCTCCATCACTGACAAACAAGCAGTAGGAGCCACAGCCTCCTCCCCCTCCCTGCTGCCTCCTCGGCTCAGCCGGCAGGTTGTCTTGGCAACCAGAGGCGGAGAGGAGATGCACTGAGGAATGGAGGTGTATGTCACCGTGGAAGCTGCCGTGCTCCTGCCCCACGCCCCAGGTCCTTGAAGGTACTGAGAACCCTCCCTACGCCCTCCTGTCCTTCCCCTCCTCCCCCTTGACCCCCCTTCCACCTGCTTGTTTTCCTGAGGTGAATGTTCCCCTCCTCCCCTGCCCAGAGACTGTTACCCATTCCTCATGAGCCACCTTGCTCCAGGCCCCTGTCCACAGCTTCCTTCCCAGCAGCAGCTCGTCCCAGCCTTACCTCTAGGGACCCTTGCACAGGAAGACAAGACTCCTGGGATGGGGTCTGGTGAGGGGGTGCGTGAGAGCCGGGAGGACTCAGGGTGGTGGGGAACCAGTGGCCCTGCCGGCTAAGGTGTCAGAGCGCCTGCACTTGGCTTCTGGAGGGGTGGAGGAGGCTGTGCAGGCCCCGGGTGGGGCCAGGGCAGTAGGGAGGGAAGGGTGGGAGGGAGAGCAAGCAGAGAGGCCCTGGAGGCCAGGCTGCTTACCCAGAAAAGCCTGGTTCTTCTCCTCCAAGGATGTGGCCCCTCCTGTGACAGCAAAGGTACACTGCCCCCCACATCACCTCCCTGCCCTTTCTCCATGGCTGGATGGCTCCTGTGTGCCCTCCCTGACCCCCAGCTTTCTCATACCTTTCCACAGGGCCCTCCCCCAACCCCACACACAAAAGCAAGCTCTTCCTCAGCCACTCAGCTACCTGTCTTCATTTCTCCTTTCTTTCTAGAACCCATCCTTCAGAATTAATCATTCTCTGTCTTCCACTAACCCAGACACATACCTTCCGTCCTGTCCCCACCTGTCCCCTCCTGTCCTCATCTCTTATAGAAAAAGGTCCCAGGGTACATTCTCACTTGTGCCCCTCAAGACCCTTCCCTGTGATTTTCCATTCAGATATCCAGAGCCCCCTTCCCAGTTTCTAGATTTCCCCAACGGACAGCTGATACATCAGCTGACTGGCTGTGGGCAGTGGTTACCAGGGCAACGGCAAGAGCTGCCTAGGTAGGCAGGTCTTCCAGGCCAAGGTGGAGAGGAGGCCAGGGCCAGCTGGCTGGGCTCCCGACCCTGCCTGCCTCTGGGGGTCACACGTGAACCCACAGCAGACCAAGGGCCGGCGACAGGGGCCTGCGGGGTGGAGGTCTTCCCAGAAACAGGGAAAGCACACCCCTGAGATTCTGCGCTGGGGGGACCTTGGGCACCACCTGACAGGAAGTTCCCTTTTGATTACATTGTCCCGGCAAGAAATGGGGTCCTTCTCACTCACACCACCACCGCTGTGCTCTGTGGCATTTCCTAGGAGGTTCGGGCTACCGAAGGACTAACCCCGTCTCTTGTGCTGAGACCTGCTTTTCCCAGTCTCCCCATCCGTCCTCCCCAGGAAAGGGTTCATCCTTGGGTGATCAATGTTGGCATCTGTGCCCACACCCCTAGCCCGCAGCATCCATGCCTTTTATCACCCAGGGAGGCAGTGACCCCAGAGGCCCCTGTGGCAGCTGAGTAGGAGATACAGGTGCTTGGAGAAAGCAGATGTTGTCACTTTTGGCTTATCAGTAGAGCCCTGTCCTGCCCCGGCTTACAGTCGGGCTGTTCTGAGGGGCTGGAGGGGCTAGGTGCATGTGTGAGCATGTGCTGCAGGACTGGGTGTGGGAAAGGGGGAAAGGCCAGCGGCTAGCCCTCGCTTCCGATTCTGCTTTGTCATGATGCCGGCTTAATGCTCCTCTTGCTTGAAATGCACTGCGCTCCAGCGAGGGAGGTGAGGAGCAGACATGCGAACACACCCTGGGCCGGCCACACTATCAGCTGGAGGTGGGGAGGGTGCGGGTGCCGGGCAGCCAGTGGCCCACGCCTGCCAGGCGCAGACTCCCCAGCTCAGCTCGGGATCCAAGCTCCAGGCTGTGGAGGAGCAGGGTGGGAGCAAGGGAGGTGGAGGCCGAGAAGGGTAGGTCTCCCTTTGCCAGCTCCCACCACCACACCCCAGCCAGCTTTTTTCCTGTTATTTGTGCTCTGGGAAAGCACAGCTGAGTTCCTGGAAGAGATGCCTGCTACCTAGGCTCAGAGGAAAAGCGGCAGCCTGGGACTAGGGCCTGGGCCTGTCCCTGCCGGCCTGGGGGTTCCGTATTGGAGCCACACTGTCTGGGAACAGGTAGGTGGCAGGGCCTCCCACTCTCTTCCCCTCTGTGGGCCCTTTGGGTCACAATACCAGCTGGGAGAGAGCTCTGGGTGGTGGCTGGGAGCCCCTGAGGAGGGTCAGCTGTGGCCTGTTGCTAGTGGGAGATATGGCCCTGTGGCCAGACCTGGGACTAGCTGGCTTTGAGTGATCAAACTGCCTTTTGATTTACGGGAGCGGGCCTGGGTGTTCTCTGCTGTCGCCCCAGTGCCCCCCTCACGTAGTTGTGTGGGCCAGAAGTCCAGGGCATGGGATGGGGTCCAGGGTGGGCAGCAGAGCTGTTCCTTCTGCTGAATGACAGAGAAAGGGATGGCCAGCCTCCCTCCCAGCACAGCACAGATATTCGAGGGGGTGGGGGGCGTTTACACAGAGGCCCCATGCTGTTAATGTGGGGTGTACTCCTGTGGAGAGGGCTCTGGGGAGGCTCCTTCTAGCCCTTGGCTGGCCAGGCTGGGTAAGGGCCCGATGCAGGATGAGGCCGGGAGGTAGGGTGTGGCCACAGGCCCTCCCGCACTCTCTCTCCTGATGCTGGCTGTTGATGTGCTTGAAGGGGCTGGGGACCTAGCAACACGCAGGCCCCCGGGATCCAGAGGCACCCCAGCTAACTGCCCTGCCTCAGCCTGACAGGTGAAGTGCCCTTTCCTGGGAAGATGCGCCTGGTGTTTCTCTCCCAGGGGACTGTGTCACCAGGGTGCCAGTCAGGGAGCAGAGACCCGTCTAGGAGGCACAGGCCTCCGTGCTTGGGAATGGGTGGCGCAGGAAGCCCCCAGGTGGGTGAAGGGGCTCTGTGTGCACACGTGCCAGCTTGTGTGTCAGCGCGTGGTATGGGTGGCTGCGAAGGCGAGGATGGGTGGGTGGGTGCAAGTGGGTGTCAATGGCACGGTGTGTTGCTGTGTGGGGGCCTCTCTGGGAGAGTGGGTGTGTGAACTTGCAAGCAGGTATATGCATTCTGCAGCTGCGTTTCAGTGTGGGCTCTCGTGCCTGTGCCCACGTGTGTGTCAGCCTCAGTGCTGCCAGCCTCTCTGTGGCCATGTGTGGACACCTGGGCAGGTGCCCTCGGGGTGCAGGTCTGTAGAAATTCTTCTTTCGGAGCTCGTATGTGTGTAAAGATAAGAATAGGCATGGTTCATAATTCAGAAAGCTGAATTTGGGAGGCAAGATGCTCGCATCTCCCCCAGCCCTATCGATCAAGCTTGTACAAGTGACATTACAATCTACCCGCAGCACCCACTATAAATAGCGACCAAAGCAGGAACATGATGAAGACCAAGCAAGCCTGAGGGGCTGGGGCACACAGAATGGGGGGGGGGGGGCTCCTCAGAGCTGGGATCCAGAGAGAGAACACAGAAACCTGTGAGAGATCTAAAAGAAACCAGATGAATAGATGCGTGTTTGTGTGAGGTAGGAGGGGAGGAAGGGGTGCCTGGGCCCTGTCCCAATGTCATCAGGAGCAGTGTGTGGGGGGGGAAGGGGGGTTACAGGGGCCTTGAGCAGGTGGGTTCTCAGACCAGGACCCACCTGCTCCTTCCTGATGCTTCCTGGAGTGTGAGACGGTCCTGTAGAGTGTTGCCATTAGAGGAACCCCAATCCTTGTCCCAGCAGATGAACAGGGCTTTGGAATGGGGATGGGGTGAGGGAGAGTGTGAGAGGAAGAGAGAGTGAGGGCTTTGCCAGTCTTGGAAAAGGTACAGGACCAGGCTTGGTGGAGGTGAGGAATGCCCTGATGAGCCCCCAGCCGAGAGCGAGGAGCCCTCTCCTGCTCACAGAACCACCTTTTTGAGGGAGCATGGGTGCCCCTCCCCACAGAGCCACCGTCAGAGCAGGCCTGGGCCTCCGTGCTCCCAATGGTCTGTGCCTCCTAGCCCTCCCCTTTCTCAACTGGGATGCTGTTTTGGGAACTGGGACCTAGCTGGATCCTGCCTTTATTTCTGGCTTTGAGTTGTTGCCACAGTAACTGCGGGGGTGGGGCCAGGATTGGGAGAGGGTGAAGGGAAACAAACTGGAAGGAGGGAGGAAGGAAAGGAAAGGGGAAAGGAACGCAGGAAGAGCTAGGCGTGAGCAAGGACCTCAGTCACACTGTGAATGAACCGAGGAAAACCGGAGGGCAAAGTTCCTGCCCACCCTAACCCCAGCCCACTTGGACAGCTGGCCTCATTTCATAACTTGTTTACTGTCAGCATCTCAGTTTGACCCTGCCTGGTGGCACAGAGCCCAAGTCCCCCAGCTTCCCTGCTCCTTGTCCACAGGCCAGGTGATGAGCGCGATTCTGGGTGGCTGCACCGGCTGAGGTTAACACATGGGATCCCAAGGTCCAAGTTCAGATTAAGTGGGATTGTTGAGCACCCATAGAAAAGCGTATTCATTGACTTTGACCTGGGCAGGAATTCTAGCCTGGCTTCCATTTGGGTGGTCTTTGACAAGTTACCCTCTTGGCCAAAGTTTCCTCATCTCTAGATGGAGAAAACAATGGCTTGTGTGAATGCAGAAAGGACGCATGAGAGTCCCTGGCCTGGGGACTGGGGCACAGCAAGTGGTGGCTAGCTTAGGACAGGAGCAAGGCTGGACCAGAGGACCCAGGCATGGGTGTGCAGGGTGAGCCTTCATTGCTACATGCCCAAGAGCCGCAGTCAGGTCAGCCCCTACCTGGAGCCAGAGCCAGCCTGCTGGGTGGGCAGCTTATCGCCCCACCCCAGAGCTGAGAGGCTCCGTTGCCCTGGGGATGCGGGTGGGCAGTGTGAGTGGGGCTGGCTGGTGGCTCAGATAAGGCAGGTAGCACAGCCCTGGGAGGGTGTGGTGGACCGGGAAGGATGAGGGGCCCGCTAGTGTCTGATCAGAACTGGGGCAGCAGCAATGTCCCTTCCGACACCGGGCTAGCCTTCCTCCCAGCTTCTTCCCGGACTTCCATCCTGCCCCACCTTCCTGCTGCAGCCTGCCCCTGTGGCCTTGTCCGGGTTGCTGGGTTAGAGAGCGCACGGCACGTTAGGCAGGAGGTGCACGCGGCAGAGGGCTGGGGCTGGAGGAGGAGACTGAGAGGGGGTGTGCACTTGGAGGAAAGCAGCTTTGGAGGGTCTGTGTGTGGGTGGAGTAAGCAGTTGCCTTTGTGGTGTGATTTGGCTTGTCTCTCTCTCTCTCTCACCCACGCACACACACGCACACGCACAATACACACTCCTCCACTCCAAAACACCCCCCCACGCCCGGCTTACAATTTCATCAGTAATACCTCAAACCATAAGACTAGCCCAAATTAAAAAGTAATGCCACCCTGGCCAGTGGCTCAGTGGTTAGAGCATCGGCCCTAGGACTGAGGGGGACTCAGGTTCCATTCCCCATCAAGGGCACATACCATGTGCTGGAGGCAACCAGATGACTGTCCCTCTCACATGGATGCTCCCCCCACCCCCACCCCGCCGTCCACTCTGTCTAAAAAATCAATGGAAAAATATCCTCAGGTGAGGATTAACAACAGCAAAAAAGTAATGCCCCCAGCCTTGGCCTGTTTGGCTCAGTGGTTGGAGTATCAGCCTGAGCACCAAAGGGTCACGGGTTTGATTCCCGGTCAAAGGCACATACCAGGGTTGCAGGTTTGATCCCCATGGGGGTGCTGGGGGGAACAGCCAGTCAATGATGGTTCTCTCTGTCTCTCTCCCCTTTCCTTCCTCCCTTCAACTCTTTTTTTAAAAATCAGTGGAGGAAACATCCTCAAGTGAGGATTAACAACAAGAAGACTCAATGCCCCCAGAAGGGCAAAGTACTAAGTTATCAGCATGCTTTCTAACGTGCCCGGTGCGCCCTGTGTGAGGGTCCTGCAGGAATGTGGCTCAGGTTGAGGGAGGAGACCGGAGGCTGAGGGGCGAGGCCCAGCACAGGGGCTGGGCACAGGGTTGTGGACAGCTGTGGATAAGAAGGGGTTGGGGGCACAGAGCGGAGACACCATTATTTTGAACCCCATCTCTGAATGGCTGTGCCTGCATGTGTGGGTGTGGGTCTCAGCATGACCACATTTACCTGTGATGCAGCTTATCTTGAACCCCCTCCCCGTCCTTCCCTGGGCAGTGACCACAGATAGACAGGCATTGCCCTACTCTGTGTGCTCTCAAAGGGTTGTTCAATGGGAGGGCACCAGGGCCACCCAGGTGCAGCCTCAGCCTCAGCCTCCAGGAGATGGGGAAGCTCTCTGTCCTCCCCAACCTGCTCAGCCACCCACACTCCCCACTTGCAAATCTTCGCTGCTCTCTTTAACCTCTGCCTGACCTGCTTGTGAACTCCGCATAGGACCTTGTCTCTCACAGCTAATCAAAGCCTCTGAATTGGGACTAGCGCTCTAAATGATCCTGTATGTGGTTACCCTGCTTCTTACCCCATCCTCTCCTTTCAGGGAAGCAAGTGTTTCCTCTCCAAAGCTGGTCCTTAACCAGTGCACAGACCAGTCCCTCCACCCTACTGGAGCCTGGCCCCTGCCACCAGCATCTCTTTCTCTTTCTCTTTCTCTGTCCCTCTGCCTGCAGTCACCGTCAGTCTCCTCTTCCCTTAAAACCTTCATCCAATCCTTCTTCCAAAGTTACTCTTCCTGCCTTTCTATCACACTTCTTAGAAGCACCCCACCCCCATCACGGGTCCAGGCCAGGCCTGCCCTCCCTATAATCCCAGGTAACAAGGAGCCCTCACCGTTCCTCTGAAGATGCTCTCCGAGGCTGCCAGGCCTTGACACCCACGTGGGCAAGCGCTCGGTCCTTTCAGCACTCTGGCCTTTCTGAGTGATGGACTCGGCTTCCTGGCATTCTTTTATTTATTTATTTATGTATTTATTTATTTATATCTTTATTGTAGAATGTATTACAGATATTCCTCATTTTTCCCCCATTGATCCCCTCCTCCCCACTCCTGGCCCCCTCCCGCCTTTTCCCACACTATTGTCTGTGTCCATTGGTTATGCATATAAGTTCTTTGGTTTATTTCTTCCCACCCTCCAACCC